AATTTTATATAGGTGATACGAAAACACATTGTTATCTTCAACTTATTTCATGAGACCAAATCTATAATTTGATGGCCTTTAGAGGTCTATGGGTAATTAATATGCAAACCCATAACATCACTTTCTTGCACAAGTCAGTATGGGGGTGTTTTGTCTAAGCTAGATGCTCTATAAGTTCAAATTTCCTTGGGACAATATGCTAGAAAGTGTTATTCTAAGCCGTTAATTGCATTGATTTGTTAATCGACAAGAGGTTCCTTCAACAACCGTTCAAATTGACACAGAAATATCAAAAAATTAACACATTATGCCTCTAGTTCAATTCATGATCCCAACCTAGGAAGCACCGACACGTGATTTCTTTAAAAAAATGTGTGTCAGACACGTGTCGGTGTTTGACACGCTCTGACATGCATCTGGCACGCGGTCAATATTTTGTGACACATTGACTATCTCGACATGCGATTTTGACCGTGTCTGACACAGTCAAGTGGCCAAAATGTAAATTTTTGAAATTTTTATAAAATTAAAATAATTCTAAAAAAAAAAGACAAACCTCCAACTCACCGCATCATCTTCTGCAATGATCGCGAAGCTAGTCTTCCCATCCGATTCAAGGTTCACTTCCTTTGATCAACAAAGATGATGATTTTATTCTTCTTATTGTGAGTAACTTCACTTTTGAGCTGTGAAACACGGACACATGAATTTTGGAAAAAAATGTGTGTCCGACACGTGTCGGACACGCGTTCCATATGTGTCGGACACGAGTCCCACACGCGGTTAATTTTTTGGGACACGTTGACTACTGGGACACGCGAATTTGACCGAATCCGACACGCGAACGTACGTGGACACGATTTGGCATTTTTTTTGTAAAAAAGAAATAAAAATAAAATAAAAAAATATTTAATAAAAACCAAAAAGTCTAGAACGGTGGAAGTGGAACCCTATCCTCTCGCGCTGGAACGGTCCTCGTCTTCTTTGTTGTCGGTCGCCGTCTACATCTCCATAAAGAGGGGAATCAGTGTTCTTGAAACCACCAGCGGCAGGTAAAGGCACAACTCAGGTAAAGGGAAACAGCAGCAACCTTGATGAGTACTTGATTTGGCTTCAACTCAGGTAAAGGCACATTCTGATTAAACTTGAGAACATCAGCGGAGGGACCATATTCGGAGTATGTCCAAGCTCTCACATGAGTAGGTATTGCACCCATTCTTGTGTTGTGTCGGTGGTGGAAATGATTCAGCAAGAAAGACTGAAGGGAAATGAAAGATGATGATTGAGATAAAGCAGCAGCTGCTTTGGAATAAAAAATTCACACTTTATTATTAAAAAAAATTAATCATTTAATTAATCCGATTTGAATCTCCTGTAAACACTTCATATCGAACTTTTAGGCCCAGTTTGAATATTATTTTTAAAAATAATTTTTTGATTTTTAGAAAAAAATTCATTTAATAGGGTTTGTTTCGTAAAATAAAAATAAAAATTATAACTTTTTATTTTTAAAATTAAATTTAAAGAATATGTTTGAGTTATTTTTATTTTGTTTTGACTTTAACTTTAAAAAAAAATACAAAAACAATTCTTTATTTAATATTTATGTTATGAAATTTAAATATTTGATTGGTTATATGCCTTATTATGAACTCTTATATGTATTAAATATAAATTATATTATATATATTAAAAAATTTATTTAATATCAAAACGTGTCTCAACGTGTCCAAATATGACATTTTTTAGAATTAACGTGTCGTGTCTCGTGTCCCGTGTCCGTGTCCGTGCATCAGCTTTTGAGAAGGTACTATGACTCATCGTAGAACTCAATCAAGAAGAGAAAGAAGATTGAATCTCTCCCCATCGCTTCATCCTACAATTTTCATGCGAACATTTTTCTCATCTTTCTTTTTCTCTGTTAATCGATCAATTTGTTAGAAAATTCAAATGAAAAATCTCAAGCACAAGCACTACCTGGGTTGGTTCCAACATTGAAGAAACGAAAGCAAAGAGATTCAACCCTCCATTTCCTGTTTGACATTTTGCCCTTATCTTTCTATTTTCGATTTATTGAATTATCGTTAGCATGCATCACACACACATCCACCTCGTTAAAATTAATTGAATAAATTATTGAATATTTTTATTAAATTTGTATAAATATCTTCAATTTGTTTAGAATGAAATTGGTATTTTTGTTAATTTAAAGAATGGAGGTATTATTTACTCCAAAGTTGTTTTGTTTTCAATTGTATTTCCAAGATTGTTGACCCTTTTCATGTGAAAGTTTCAAAATTTATATGGACTGCAATATGTATTAAATATAAACTATATTATATATATTACAAAAATTACTTTTGTATCAAAACGTAACCTAACGTGTCGTGTCTTGTGTCGGTGTCAGTGCAACATAGATCCTAACTTCACTAGACACCCGAAGCCAAAATATGTGATTTCTGCTTTCATAAATGCTATAAAGGTAGAAATTTTGCCCTCTTTTAGGGGACGTTTGGTAGAGGAGAAGTTTTATTTGTCCTGGGAATCATGAATATGGTGGAAAAGTAAATTTCCCGGGAATGTTACCAAAAAGTTGTTCAGTAAGCCAAAATATTATCAGGAATGTTGGTTTAAGTTTCCCGATTCTATGTTTGATTGATTATCAAATATTGCTGGGAATGTGGGATAATCTTACATAAGAAATATTGCTCAAGTAACCCTACCCATCATTTCATTCAAAATTTGTTGAATTTAAATTAAAATTCCAGATGTGGTTGTGTGGGTGTGGTTGTTGATGGGGACTGTGAACCAGATGGTGCTGATGGAGACAGTGAGCTATCAATGCCAGGGAAAAAGATGGGTTTGGTGACTTGGAGAATGGAGATGTTGTAAGGTTCGGTGGTGAAGGTTTTCACGAGCTTGACGTTGGTAGAGGCACCGCTTATGGCGGAGCCGAAGACGATATTGCCATTGCCGACTTGTGCAACCTTGATGAAGCCTTGCTGGTCGGTAGCGAGGCCTGAAGCTTGGCCAAGGGTTGGTTGCTACCCTGAGCTTCCATTAGCTTCTCTCATCAAAATAATCGATGACGACATGAATGACGGGCTGAGGGTATTTTTGTTTAAAAAACTTGAGAATATTTTCCCACCGTGTGGAATTTTCAAATTACCACCTGTAGGGTGGTATTATTGATTGGGATTTTGTTGAACATTTTAATATCCCAAAAATGTAATTTTCCTAAGAAAATTCTCACACTTCCTTGTACCAAACGTGGGTAAATAAGATTTCCAATGTCAGTTTCTCGAGAATCTAAAATTTACCTACGTACCAAATGCCCCTTAGTTCTTGTATAAGCTTTGAAAACTCTCGAGCCTAGCTAGTGCAAAGTCAATATTGTTGGTTCTATGAAACTTCACTGAAGGGCTACTGGTTGCAAAGCTCTCATTTGCTCAGAGAGAGGAGCTTAGCTTGGAGGTTTTAAGAGTTACCTTGGTGATTGTAGCCTTTTGGAGTTTGAGTTGTGGGGTGTACTCAAATGAATCGAGTTGGCTTGATTATTGGGCTTGTGTACTCTTGAAGGACATTTGCAAGTAATTATCTCCATGCTTACCATTTATGGTGATGATACCAGACAACCACATTTGGTGGCTAAATTGCAGGATTGGCTTGTTAAAAATTATGATATTAGGATAAGGCATACATCTTATGAAAGGAACAAATGTGTAGATCCACCACTCTTAAAGGTAGGGCTGACAAAACGGACTCGGCGGGCTGACTCATTTTTTTGGAGGGTTAATGGAGGAACTGGGCGGGCTGCCCCCTTTGCCACATTTACTTAAATGTGTCATTAATTTATGTTTAAAAAAAAACAATAAGAAAAAAAATAATAATAACAATAACAATTAACGACGTCGTTTTGAAAGTAAATGCAGATAAGTTATCTGCATTAACTGCAGACATATTTTTCTGTAGAATATATGCTATTTTCTTCTTCTTTTTCCCCTTTAAATAATGTTTATTAGAATTGGCTTTTAACTTATTAAATTTAAGGGAAATTGTTTTCTTATGTGACATAGGATAAGACTTATCTCCTATAGACCATGGTAGTTAAAATCTGAATTTAAATATTAAAATCTCGATTTTAACGATTTATTTTTGCTAAAACGATTTAGATTTCACTTAAAATTATTTCCAATATAAAATCCCGATTTAGACATTTACTTAAGTCCCAATTTTAAGATTTAAATCCCGATTTTAACTATTGGAATGATTTAAGCAAGTTAGGAAAATTGTTGAATATAACATTGCTGATGTTTCATCCGAAGATGAATGGATGGTGGAAAATGAAGGAATTTTATCTCATGATGAAAGTTTAGATGAAGACAATTTTGAATGATGTAGTTGAAGATCACGTGGAACAGAATGTCTTCGATGATAATAACTTGAATGATTTATTAGCTTAGACTCTTAGAGTGTGACAATTGTATGCAAATGTATAAGGATGACGACAGATAGTCTATTTTTCTTAATTTTTTTTATACATAAGCATAGGTATATAAAAATTTAATTTTAGAGTGCAGGTAAAATCTACGATTTGTATTACGATTTTACGATTTACGATTTACGATTTTTTATTCTCTTTCCGATTTTAGGTAAAATCCCGATTTTGACTACCTTGCTATAGACACATAGAGGAGAGAGGAAAGAGAATATAGGAGAGAGAGAAAATATAAGTGAGTCCCATCTCTTTATATGTTAGTGTAGGAGAGAAGTTTTACTTTATGTTACATAAGAAAAACAATTTCCTAAATTAAATACAATTACATTTAAAGCTAGAGAACATAATTTATTTTGAAAAACCATAAAAGAAAGTCACAAATGTTGCGGAAGCTACCAAAAGAAACAAAACAAAAATAAAAAAAGCTACAGACAAACAAACCATTAAATCGAAGAGGTTGGGTGCGGGCCCCATTTTATCTCTCTCTTGATCTCCATTTCTCACGCAACATCTCACTTCGCTTAGTACATAACTCACAAAGACAGAGAGAGAGAGATCCATCCATCCATCCTCCGCCACCGCCATCACCACCACCATGGCGACGGCGACGGCGGCGGAGCCAGAATTAAAAACTTACTGGTGTCACGAATGCGACATGAGCGTGGCTCTCACTTGGTCTCCCTCTCCTTCTCTTTTGTGCCCTCATTGCCACACCCACTTCCTTGAGCTCATGGACTCTCCCTTGTCCCAAAACGACGCCGAATCACCACCACTCCCTTCCGCCCTCTTCGACGTCGTTTTCCAAGACGCCCTCGCTCTACTCTCCCCACAACCTCGATCCGCAACCTCCAAGACTCTCACCGTGCCCGTAATTGCAGTGACCAAAACCTTGCTCTCTGAGCTGGACCCAAACGGCGTCGTTTTGTGCGCCGTATGCAAGGACCAAATCTGCGTGGACAACGACGCCAAGCAACTACCTTGCAAGCATTTGTATCACTCCGATTGCATCACGCCCTGGCTGGAGCAGCTTCACGGTTCCTCCTGTCCCCTCTGCCGGTTTCCGATGAGGGAAGATTTAGATGATGATGGTGATGGTGATGGTGATGGTGATGATGATGATGCTTTGTCGCAGTCTTCGCGGACGAGGCAGCTGGTGGTGAGGCTGTCGGAGTTGACTGAGGATGATTTCTACGGTTTGAGAACCACTCTCAATCACATTGCTTCTAGACTCGCCCTCCTCGACTCGAATAATGAGAATCGTGTCCAATTGAATGAACCTGGTGATGTTGCTGGTGAATCAGGATGCTGATGTTGTCGTGTCTGAAAATTCATCACGGTAATTGAGGTATGAAGTTGGAGGGATCTTGAATATTGATTTTCAGCTATTAATTCATTAACTGCTATTTGCTTAATTAGTTATGTTTTGGCTAGGTTTCTGTATTTCTGTTATGTTGCAGTTGGTTGTTAGCTGTCTGTCTTTCCACCATACATAGCTCAAGCTATGTATCAATGTAGTCACAATTTTCACAAACTCTACAATTCAGTTTTTTTTATTTAATGCAAGTCAGGATTCATAAACAGATCAAATCACTCTGATGGGCCTGAAAATAAAAGAATCAGTTAGTTAAGGAATGATTCTAGAATATTCTGATAATTAGGATAAAAGGAGGGGAATGTGAGGAGTGAGGTGGACATGAATTCAGTATTGGTTTAGTAGGGGAAATTGTAAGGATCTCTTTGGAGCCTAGGTATGTTGGTCTTGGAGAGTAAGTGAGGTCTTTTGGTTATCTGTTTTGCCTTTTAATCTGTTTGAAGGCTTTATAGCCATTGTTATCGTGTCACTGTTACTGTTATCTGTTTGCATTCTCTGGTTATTGATACTGTAATTGCTGGATTGTGTTGATATTAATACAAATATGATGATTTGTTTTACATCTGGTGTTATAACAAATTGAGGTTCCATCACACTCATTATGTGGGTCTATAGAAGGCAGTTTTATCTTGCATTTTTCAAGAGGTTGATTACATGAATCGAACTTGTGACGGTAGATCACATGGCAACAACACCAATACTTGTGCCGATTTTTTCTACTTTTAATGTTAGTTTGTATAAAATATAGAGAAATGCATTTGAGGCATCTCTTTGAACCTGTTCATGGAAGGAACCTGGAGAGTAATCTTTGGATTTCTTGCTTCCATTTTCTCTAACATGACAACTCCTTTAGGTTGTGGCTAGTTCCCTTTCTAGTGCTCCGTGCACTAAGCCAAATTTAGAGTGCTGTGCTGGTACCTTTGGGGAGGGGAAGGGCGGAGGGGGTCAAGATAGGTTTTCAGCGGAAACAAACATGTGGAAAACAGGTAAATATAACCAACAACTATTGGTTCAAGTGATAAGCAATTTGTTCCTCTAATTTGAGGTCTCAAGTTCGAGTGTTGATAATGGACAAAATGGTGCCACCCCCAATATGGGTGTGACAGTTCGAGTAATCGATGAGCTGATTGGGAAGAATATAGAAGATTGAGATTGGTCTTTTGTGGATATTTGTAATGGTAAATCAGAGCTTAAATATTTATACGTGCTATAACTCATTGTTATCATCATCGTGTAGTTGATCATGTGCATTTTATTCAAGCTAAAACATTAAGATTACCGAGTAGTTATTGCATAATTCAGGATTACCACAACTGAACTCTTGGGTGATGTTGTATTTTGGCCTAAAATGTTATTATAAATTTGTTGTTAGTGCAAACATTGAAGCTCCTTTTTTTGAGGGGTTGGTGAAGGGGAGGAGATAATAATCAATTCTTTTGAGTAGTAATGTTTATACCCTAGTCTGTGTCATTCTTATATGACAAATACTTATTGGTTTAGCAACTTTAACTATTTTCTATTTCCTGCAGGATAGTCAGCACTAATGCCTCGTGGGATAATAAACCTACTCTTCTGTCACTTTTATTAGCCATCCATCTTCTATTTTGAACAAACCCTATTACTGCTTGTGAACTAATATTGTCTGTTCTTATATTTGATTGCAGGTATATAGTGTATTAAAAGAATGTTGAGGTTGTATCACCATAGATCGTCTTTCAAGTGTAAATCTGCACGGACGATTAAGTTTCTCCTTCTCTTTTCCCTCCTTTTTTGGGGAACTCCAACTAGCTAGTTGTAGTGTTATAGCCAGAAATACAATAAATCGATGGAGTGTACGAGTAATGTGCATCCTCCACTCTCTCTGTGTAGGTTCTTGGAACTGGATTCTGAACCCAGATTCTCCTCCATTTTAGGCAATAAAATCTTTGTAAAATTCAGCTTTCGTTTGTATAGTATCTGAATTGTTGAATTGGATCATTTCCACTAAATCATTTTTTTATCACAATTTTTATGCTTTACAGTCAGTAATTGAATCATGGCAGTAATTACCGTATAAGGTTGTCAAGGAATTGAATCATCCTAGTGTAGTTGTGTACCATGGAAGAGCATTAAACTGCATACTTTTTTGGTGTGGCTAAAAAATTTAAAAATTGTAATTTAAATAATAGATTCCAAAATTAATATGATTTTCAAATATTTTATGCAATTAATGCAATCATTGAGCCTAAATTTGGACGCAACTACCACGTGGCAAGCTTTGGTCAATTGTGTTCATTTTGATGCCCAACTAGTTGGATCAATTTGGGCATAACTCACTAGTTGGGCATCAATTTGAGTACAATCTACCATAGCTTGGCACATGTACTAAGGGTGGTTGTTTGCATAATTTGGGCGCAATTTTGTGCATTGTGGCAAATTATCATGAGTTGTACTCAAATTGATGTGCAATTGGTTGCATAAAATATTTAAAAAAGATATTAATTCTGCAATTTATTATTTAAATTGTAATTTTAATTTTTTTTTTACATTTTGGTGTAGTTTGATCTATGCTTGAGGACTGAATGCAGCTGGCTGATTATATGATCACTACTGAACTGAACCTCAGCTTCCCTCTGACTTTGATGTTTCAAAGAGCAGGTGGATGATGTTTTTTTGGGTAAACCATAACTAGAGCAAATAAGAAGTTTTTATCTTTTTTTACTATCTGCTATAAAGAACAGGGCGAACCTTAAGGGCCTGTTTGGAGCACCTGACAAAGAAGATAGGATAGGATAATTTATCATATCTTGCTTTTATATCTTGTTTGGTGGGTCAATAGGATATAATTAGCTTATCCTATTGTCTTATTTTTGTATCCTATTCAATACATGATTTCTTATCTTATGGGGGGAGCTGAGTTAGGATTCAACAAGATATGATACCAATATTGAATACTCAATATACCCTCACACTACTCAACAAGATCTGAATCTTACTTGAGATCATTTTTTCTCTCAAACTGGTTGGAATCGACGTGTAAACGCATAAGATTAGTGGAAACAAAAGTTTTCACCATTGAAGTGATTCAGGTGAAAAAAAAACCCAAATTTATGGCGGCTTAGATTTGGGAGAAAAAAAACACAAAAGAGGAAGAGTCTTCAAGCGGTGGTCGGCGGAGACCGAATCCTCAACAACCTTTTGCGATTAAATTTGGCCAATGGAACTTAAAAAAGAAACAAAAGAAAGAAACTTAAGAAAGGAATAGAACTCAAGGAAGAAGAAAGGAAAATACTCGCTTGAAGAGAGAGAAAAAGTATGTGAAAAAGTTATTTAAAAATATTTTGTTTAAAATTATAATTGTTAGAATTGTGTTGTATAAATAAATTTAATAAATTTAAAAATTAGTTTTTGATAAATTATATGACATTATGTTAAAAAGGGTAATTTAGTTTATTTGTATTATATCGTGATGATATCTAGTTCGCCTCAAACACATGATATGATAACATAATCTTATCATATTGCTAATCAGGTGTCCATCAAACAGAAGACATGATATAGGCTTATTAGCCTTATATCATATTCTACCCTTATCCAACTCTCTTATCCTATTTATTCTTATCCTATCCTATCCACCAAATGATCCCAAAAGAATATGGATAAAGTTGTTACTTCGAGTTCAAAAAATGGTCTTTTTTTATAAAATTACAAGGGTGAAAATGGGTACAATCAACCGTCACCCATATTTTCGCAAATAGTAAAGTTTTATGTATCGGAGTTTTTCCTTTGTCCTTTACTATATCAGCTAAAAAGAAAAATGAAACAACACCCCTTTGATTTTTTTTTTTATTTCATTGGCCTTGGTCCTCAGGTGTTTATTTAGGTCTGGAAGGCAAAATTCTCAGATTATCCTTTCCATGAATCATAATTCCTACACTACCTTTAGGCCATGATGTCCCACATGTATAATAATTCCAAAGAAAAGTTTGCAGTCACCCAAAAATGGTTTATCTAGAGTCTCTCCAAAGGGCTGCCAACTTTATCATTGTGGGACACGTATAGGTTTTATTGTCATTGTTTGAACTCAGAACGCAAGCAGATGGCACTCGTGTGGTGCAAGTCAAGTTATTTCTTTTCAATCAATAATTCAAAGCAAACATTTGCGCGTGATGGATCTATATTTCTCATAAAAAGAAAGTATAAATGACAAATACATAAATTTTAGCGAAAGAATAATCTAATATTTTAGGGTCACACAAGGGCACGAGTCAAAAACTGTTGTCATCGGATGGCTAATTAAGCAAAATAATAAGAAATTTCATCTCCTTAATCCTCATAGCTAAAAAAAGAAAAAGATAAACAACAAGAATTAAATAATCGATAATTACGTAATCAATTAGGCTAAAGAAGACGAAGACGAAGCCGATGAGTCAGCACCCCTCATTGAAGGCCACAAACTGACCAAATCCAAATTATGTTAGGAAACTTCTAGCAAACTTCTCCTAATGGGTCAACAAGCAATTATCCTCATTCATTGGTTTCTCACTTGAAATGGCCACTACATTCTTAACACGTATTCTTTATTACCTTTCTGGATAACAACGAAAATTCCACTTCAATTCCAACATTTTCCATATGTGAAATAACTGGTCAAAATGCTTATTCTTTCTTTGCTTTTCCAAAGGCTGGTCCAACATATCCTTCACGCACAAACAACTATAAAAGTATGCATGCCACTTTTTTCTTCAAATTCATTCATCATCCCATTGTTCTCTTCTTTCTAGCTTGCAAACACACGAGATTGAAGCAAATCATTAAAGGGTGTTTATATTTGTATCATACAAAACTTGAAAAGATGGAGAGTAGCTTAGGTGACATGTTGTTGAAGGTGATCATGTTCATCATAGTCCAAGCTTTGGTGTACCTTATCCTTACCAATTCATCAAACATCTTCTCCAAGAACATCAAGAGATCCAACAGCTTCAAGCCTGCACGATCGGTAAGTATTCGCCGGATGCTTGCTTTGCTCTCTGATTTTCCTCCTGAAGGAGAACCCTCTCCTTCTTCAAAAAGTCCTCAATCACCAACCCTTCAAAATGAAGATAAACTATCATAGATTCTTAGTAGGGTCAGGCTGTGTGTAAATTATTTCTCTCTCACTCTCCCTTTAGTGTAGAGGTTATGGTATTGCAAAATTAGTTAAACTATCCTAGATTATTGGTTTGGGGGTCTTGAATTCTTTTGTTCATTGGTTTTTTATTCATGAATGATGTAATATATATTTATAAATGGAATGTTGAGAGATTCATTTATTTTTTTACCTCTACTTTGTAAATTGAGTATCATATATGATTAAGAAAACTCAGTGATTGTGGCCTTGTAGGTTATATATATACTTGCTTGTTAAAATATGCTACTTGCAATATATTGTATATCACCGAAAAAAATTTAAAACAAAAGAAAATTCAAGTAACTAGCAAAGACATGACTTTATTTGGCAGAGTGTGGCATGATTAATTTTGGACTTGCAAATGTTGAAAAGCCTAGCACTATATATGTGCCTTGAGTTAACAAAATCCAATTCCAATACCATTAATTGATTTTTTTGTTAAAGAACCTTGGGATACACCACCCCAAAAGTTAGCTCAAAGGGTGAGAGTGCCCAAGTCCTTATATATCTCAACACGCCCCTTCACGCAAGAGCCCTCTTGGCTTGAAGCGTGAATTATGCAACAGGCCCAATCTTTGGTATACCTTTTGTGCTTCCACTTTAAAATGGGGGGCGGTGAGGATCGAACCTCAGGCTCTGATACCATGTTAAAGAACCTTGGGATACACCACCCCAAAAGCTAGCTCAAAGGGTGGGAGTGCCCAAGTCCTTATATATCTCAACATTTTTTATTATATTTTTCTGAGTGTTTTCAGTCTTATACTAGTGTTACATGTTGGAATTTATATATATATATAAATTGTATAGACAATCTATTGGTTATGAATAAGAAGTTTGGTAGTGAAAAGGTGTGTCTTTTCGTCGACAAACAGATGTATCTTTTCATCTTAAAGGATGTGTTGTTTCATCCTAACGGACATGTTGTTTCATCCTAACGGACATGTTGTTTCATCCTTGAATTAGTGTCTTTTCGTGTTGAACGAATGTGTCTTTTCGTGTCGAACGAATGTGTCTTTTCGTGTCCAACGGATGTGTTGTTTCGTCGTCGAATAGGTGCCTTTCGGAACGTGACTTTACGTTGTCTATAAATAGACACTGACACCTTCAGAAAATGGATCCAATTTTTCTGCACTGAAACTCTGCCGGAATTTTTCTCCTTCCGGTTTTGCATGTTCCTTTTCATACTCCGGTGTAGTTTCCTCTGGCATTTTGTTGTGTTCGTTTGGGCTGTTGATTGGTAGTGCCACCATTCTTCAGATGAAATCCGTTCTATCCTGGGAGACAAGTGTCCATCAACCTTTGGCATCAGTGAGGGGGCAAATTGTCTTAAGGAGACACGTTCTGTGGGCTCGGATTTAATTCCTCTACTGCATACATTAATCTGTTCTGATTCTTTATACTGACTACAAGTAAGTCTGTTTTTAATATTTTTATAATTGCACAGTGATAATTCTGATCATCTACCTCCTCTGCCTTATACATGGGTTCAAATCTCTTAGTGATATAATATCACCCACTGTCTTCAATAACAATCTTAAGACAATTTGGTGTTTTGAACCTGTGATCAGTATATTCTATTTTTTACTTTAATATACTGTTTATACTATTTACTGTGTGATTAAAAGATTAATTTGTGTGATTAATCGAAATTTCTGTTTGAGTAATAGAAATGTAATTTATAATCTGTGTTGAGTGTTTGATTTGTGAACATTCAAATGATGGAATAATTATTTTGATATTTTACAAATATTAATACGTATTTTTAGTTTTTATCAGTATCGATTTTTCTTTGAATATTCATCTGTGTTTGAATATTGGAAGTGATGCGTTTAATTTGCATCTAATTATGAAAGTTGCCGTGGCTTTTGATTTTGATATTTTGATTGTTTCCATTTTTTTTTATCTGTGTTTGTTATCCCTGTGATCGGTATCAATTTTCTATTGACTTGTCTGTGTCTGGGTTTCAAAACTGTCACAGAAAACAAATCCGCACTGTTACAATATTGCATTCAGATTTGATTTTTTCATATAATATCGTTTCTCGATTTTGTGCATCCATATTGATCTTAAATACATACCAAAATTGGCATCTTGATTCGTGTGATCTTGATCGGTATCTTGATTTGTGTTGAACCGATTTACACATTGTTTTTCTTTTCACAATGTCTTCTCGATTGTCGTGAATTTGCTTTCTCAAAAAGTCATGCACTGTTGTAACCATTGCATGGAAAAAAAAAACCGAAAAGAACTTGTTTTCAATCGGTGATCAATATTAGCTTTCATGATCGCTGACTTCTATACATAAATATTTGTACTCTATTACACAATATATGAACACTTCGGTAATTGTGCATAGAGATATTGATCTTCAAAGTTTTTCAGTTGCTGTGTTTGGTAACAGTGTAATAGATTTTGTTGTGCAATTGAAATTGCATCTCGGTTTGCATGTTTGAAATATATTTGGGCTGCACTATATATTTGCTTATATGTTGATAAGCATTTATTGGTTGTTATATATGCAAGAATCGAATAATTCAAATGTATTGAAAATCATTTTTTCAATTGTTTTGGATTTTGGTTAAATGAATTCTCCATGTTGTCATTAAATGCACTGAATGCATTACTATTGAATTTGAAAAAAAAAAAAAACGTAAAAAGTTGCATCATTTCAATTTTGGAACTCTGGTCGTCCATTGAAAAAGTTTGTGACTATTCCCATAGGACGTATCTTTTAAATTTTAAAACAGTTTTGTGAAGAAAAAAAAGGTGCTGTGGGACTTAATTTTTAATCAGTATATAAACGGTAAAACTGTAGTTCCTTTGTGCACATGTATGATGTATTACATGTTACTTTTTTGTTCAATTATATGGAATCACAGTGTGTGGAAAATGTGAAGTACTTATTGGTGCATTGAAAGACTTTGTTTTTAGAATTAATACTAGTTTATTTCCACGGCTTTCCATTTGAAATGGAATTAATGGTTGGCTTGTTTCGATTGTCGTGCTATATTGCATTTGCAATTTGCGTACAGTGTTACATTTTTTTCATTTTGACAATCAATGCATGAAATGGAATTAATGGTTCTTAATGACCATTTATTATTTATAAATATAAAATTGGTGTGAATTAAATATAAATATTAATTGTGTGTTGCATTGAATTAAATGCAATGTGCGGTAATAATGGATATGAGGCTCTTATATCTAGTGAAATATTTGATACTATGTGAACTCAAAAGAGCTATCTTAGTGATGGCATGATCAAGGTCAATGGATAACTTTGAATATTGTAAATGACATGATAATTGTATATTATCTTATGGTTAAATTGGATTTATTATTTGATATATGTTAATGTTCAGTAAGAAAGTTAAAGGCATTAAGGAGCGATCGAGGGGAAGATTATAATGACTCTTCGAGGAGTTCAGTTTGGAGTGTGATATCATATAACAAATGATTGCTCCTTATGCTTCACAATCCAATGGGATTGCTGAGAAAAAGACCCAGACATTAAATGATATGATCTTGTTGATGTCTGGTTTGTGGGGAAAAGTCATTTAATGACAAATTATATAATCAGTAAAGTATCCCACAAGAAAATTAAGAACACCCCCTATGAAATATGGAAAGGTAAGGAGCCTACCTTGAATTATCTTGAAGTGTGGGGGTGTTTGACAAAGAGCATACCATACGACATATGGAAAGGAAAGAAGCCATCTCTGAAATACTTTATAGTGTGGGGGTGTTTGGCTAAGGTTGTGGTTCCTAAACCTAAAAGGTTAAAAATCGGACCTAAAATCGTGGATTGTGTATTCATCGGTTATGCACTTAATAGTAGTGCTTATCGATTTCTACTGTATAAATCTGATGTCTCAGATATACATGCTAATACGGTTATTGAGTCAAAGGAAGTTACTTTCTTTGAAGACGTATTTCCGTATAAGAGGATACCTGAATCAAGTGGTAATAATGATGATCAGGTTGTGATACCTCAGGATGCTACAATTGATACTGATCCTGTAGAGGATATAGAAGATGAACCTAGACGTAGCAAGAGGCAAAGGACCGCCACATCTTTTGGACCTGATTTTACGACATATTTATTAGAAAAATGAGCCTCGGACATATAAGGAAGCTATAACGTCTCCGGAAGGACCATTCTGGGAAGAAGCTATCAATAGTGAGATAGAATCTATCTTGTCCAACCACACTTGGGAATTGGTAAATCTTCCTACTGGCAATAAGCCTTTAGGAAATAAGTGGGTGTTCAAAAGAAAAATGAAAGAGAATGGCACTATTGATAAATATAAAGCAAGGCTTGTGGTAATAGGCTATAAGCAACGTGAAGGTCTCGACTATTTCGATACTTATTCACCTGTTACAAGGATCACATCCATCAGGATGTTGATCGCGGTAGCTACATTAAATTGATTAGAAATACATCAAATGGGTGTTAAAATCGCCTTCTTAAATGGCGACCTGGAAGAAGAGATATATTTAGAACAACCTGAAGGTTTTGTTATTCCAGGACAAGAACGGAAAGTTTGTCGCTTAATAAAATCCCTTTACGGGTTAAAGAAAGCTCCAAAACAATGGCATGAGAAATTTGACAAAGATATGTTGTCAAATGGATTTCGAATTAATGAATGTGACAAATGTGTCTATGTTCGAAATACTGAAAAAGGTTTTGCCATTGTCTGTCTTTATGTAGACGACATGTTAATCATGGGTAGTAATAATCAAATGATTAATGCTACTAAACAATTACTTAAAAGTAAGTTTGATATGAAAGATATGGGGATAGCAGACGTTATCCTAGGTATTAAAATCCATAGAGCATCTACAGGGTTGGCCTTATCACAGGCTCACTATGTAGCTAAGGTTCTTGAGAAATTCAAGAGTTTGAAAATAACTCCTGTGAGGAACCCTGTAGATTCTAATCTGAGTTTATTAAAGAACACTGGTAAAGCTACAGCACAAAAGCTATATGCTCAAGTGTTGGGAAGCCTTATGTATGTTATGAACTGCACCAGACCTGATATTGCTTATGCAGTAAGTCTGTTAAGTCGCTTTACCAGTAATCCAAATGAGAATCATTGGAAAGCTATGGTAAGAGTTTTGGGATACTTGAAGTATACTCAGAATTATGCTTTGC